TGAGCTAATGAATTCCTGAAGCATCTGGAATTGATGCCTGACGCAGAGGCATCAATTCCTGATGCTGCAACAGAGGTTACATCTGTTACAGCGTCAGTAACAGATGGTTCATACTTGGACCTATGCAACCTTACCTCCAACTCAGAAATGTCCCTTTTCTCAGAGTCGATCTTCTCTGTGTAGCGCTCGCAGCAGCTCCGTTCCACAAGGCTGCAGAGTAACAAACCGGGTCTGGGTCCTGGAGCCAGTGTGGCGTCGTTGGGGAACCTAGTAGCTATTTCCACAGGAAACATAACTGCTGCTGACATACTGTGCTCCATGTCGCCCTGGAGGTCCTCTTGAAAACCGGCGGGGATCTTTTTCTCTGGTTCGCTGATGAACGCTGGGTGGTTGTTGTTGCAGGAGTCCGGGGTGAGGCTGTCTGGCGTCAGGTCCTCGTGTTCTTCGTCCATGGCAGCAGCAGCAGCTGCGGCTGAGCTGGGCTTATGCTTGGTGTAATAAAGCGACACCTTATGCTTCTTCTGTGGTTGGAAAGTAGTGGTTGAGCCTTTCTTTGAGGACTGAGACCGCGGGGTCGGGCTGTTGGCCACAGCTGAAGAGCCCCGGCCCTTTCCTTTATCAGATGTGTGACAGGTGTCTATGTAGGTCTTACAGCTGCCTTTAGATTTACTGCACACATACATAAAAAGATGACAGTTATTTTTAGCATTTTAGTACAAACCCTAGAGAATAAAACCAATGTTTTTGACTGGACATACTTGACTCCGTTGGAGGTGATGTTATTGACAGAGCTGTTCTCCTGGGACAGGACAGAGTTGTGGTTGCTCCGGATGCTCGGGGTAGAGAACTCTCTGAGGATGTACTGAGCCTGATGGAAGGCCATCAAACACACGCCCACCAAGGAGAAGCTGCAAAAACAGAGACTCAGCAAATATTCACTCCTTCAATCCTCCTAGTAAAAAATATTTTTGCAAGCCATCCTGATCAAAATCCTACCACTCCCATACTGATCAGAGGAATTTATGATCAAGTATATGCTGACAGTCTGATAAAGTCAATACTAGTATCTTTAAGACACATTGCCTACATTAAAATTACTAAACTTGAACACCTTCATGATTTGTGTCTAAAGATCTCTGACTGAACTTGACACTACAGCTGCAGTCTGTTTTTCATACACTACGCTAATGCTTCAAACGTAGCTTTGCTCTGGATGCTGTAAAATTTGATGTGTAGTGTTTCAGCTGCTCTCTATTTACTTCCATTTATTCTACCAGCTGCATTTATGCCTGACCCAGATATTTCCCCAACAGGGAAGCTGTAGCAGGTGCAGTAGTCTCTCTTTTTGACTGCAGCAAACTTTTCCAGGAACCAGGGTAGTTAACTAGGCCCATTACTTACCAACCTACATTTTCCACCTCATTTCTGCAATTGGAAACAAAATCTGAGAAGAAATTTAGTCCAGAAAAACGACTCTTTCTGGGAGGTAGTTCATTTAACAGGAACTATCTGTTGACCTTTTGTGGATGGAAAACGATTGAATTATTAGCATTTATGATTCAGTTGTTTCTAATTAAAAATATGAACTTAACCCTCTTATGACCAACCTGTCAGTGCCGACAGGATTCAGCTTGTGCACTTCCCATTACCGTAACTTCTGAAGAGTTCAACATATCAAAAAAATTCCAAAAGTGCAGGAAAGCTGAGACATAGCGCTTTCAGGGTATATATGATACATTACGGTAGCCACCCGGGAAAGCTGTGATACGAGCTTGACCAATCACAAGAAAGATTCTCCGTTGTGTCATATTTGACACCCAACCTACTCTGTGTCGTAACTCCTGAACGGTTGGCTGCATTCAAAAAATTCCAAAAGTATTAGAAGGTGCATAAAATAAGCTTTTCAACGGTGTATCACATGTGCATGTTGGAACACACATTAGAGTAAACATTTCCGTTATGGAATTTCCCTGCGGAGCTTCGTACTGTATCAACGGTGCGAGAGAGAGAGAGAAGATGGCAGAGGACGAGTTGAAATCGTGCATAAAATTATGGAAATGTCTAAAAGAAAATCCACCAGACTGATAAAGGGTCCCAGAAGACTGATGTCTGAAGGCTGTGAACATGAGAGACATATAACCAGGTTATGTAAAATATTTGTACAAGCTAACGTTAGTCATATGAATGCTGCACAGCTATTGGCTAACTGTTAGCTCCATCTTGATTCCTGCATAATTTGTGCAATAATTATTTATTATGCTGAAAATAAAATCGTGGTCTTCCAAAAATAATGTCGTAAGTAATATTTTTACCTAACATGATTTTGGCAAAAAGAAAAAAAAAAAAAACACCACCACTTTTTTTTCTGCCTAATTGGGAAAAAAGCAAGAACAACAAATCAGCCAAGTGAGGGATTGGTGACCTGTCCAGTGTGTCCCCTGCCTCTTGCTCCTGACCACTGGAGATGGGTACCAGCACCCTCTCAGCCTGAAGTCTGATAGATAAAGTATGGATGGATCCAGAGTGGGATTTTGTCTGTAGCTGGGGAGGAACTGCTTTAGAGCCTACCACAAAAAGTGAAAACGCCTGAAATAATTTAATAAAAAACAGGCATAAAAACTTGTAAATTGGAGGCCAGGCTTCACAGTTTTCTCTGCATTTATGTAATACAGTTGAAAGTTGAAATTGTTCATCTGAAATTGTTTGCCCCTGTCATCAGGAAGTTTTTGTTCAGTAATAAACCTGAAAATTTCAATTCTGATTTTTTTTTTTTTTCAATTTAAACTGTTTGTTCACCATTTTTAATAGACAGAAATGTTAAATAACTATTAAATACTGAAAGCTGAGGTTGTTCTGGAAAAAAGAGCAAAAATTCAGACTCATTGCACATTTTTTGAGAATTTTACAGCCATAAAATCAGAAAAATACCAGGCGCCCCAGTTACAATTATGGTCATAAGAGGGTTAACTACAACATCACAGAATATTAAAAGATTGAAAGTGAAGAAAAAGCAGCGTTGCTCTGTGTGGTTATTTAGATGAGCAAAATAATGTGCTCAACTTAGAATGAAGTTCTGCAAGCCGTGCAGAAACACAAAGTGACTTAATAAATATGCACACCTAACATGGAGTAACATATGCAGTAGAGCAACAAAAGTATCTGAAGCTCCAGTTTAGTCAGGGACTTGGATGCTGGTCATTTAATGATGATGCTGGCGATGGTGATAGGAGTTTGTCCCTCAACCGTCAGGTGACTGACTGCATGAAGTGGGAAGCAGTTTGAGATCCTCTGGGCTTGATAAAGCTCTATACATGTCATTTACCATTTAAAAATGTCTTAGTCAGGACCGATATCTGGGACCAACTACACCCCTTCCCCACTGTTTGGATAACAGTGACTAACCATGTGAAGATGAGAGTGACAACCCAAAAGGTTTCCTCCCAGCTGGGGCCTGGTACCACCTGGGCACAGAGTGGCAGCATGTGGTGGGGCAGAGTCACGTTAAGGGTGAAAGGGAAAGTGCTACCACGTGATGTCACCAAGGTGAGGTCCCGAATCACCCAGGAGGATGTGAAGTCTGGTGTAAACCTACAAACAAATCAAAATAATTAATAGAAAAGATGTGAGAGGTGCAAGAGAATCAGCAGCAGAAGGAAAATGTTTAAATGAGGAAATAAAATGAATGAATGAAGTTTAATAGTTCTTACGCAATTGTGATCTCAGAGGAAGTGTTGTGCTCCAGGCTGAAGGAGTGACACTGCAGCACCTCGAAGCCATACCCCTGACATGCATAACCATTGATGTTCATGGACATGACTGTCAGAGGAAGCTCTCCTGCATTCTCCACCTTAAAACTCTTCCTGATAGCAAACAGAGGCTTACTGGTGCGCAGACCTGGAACAGACATACTCTATTTATCTTTTGTAGCATTTGTAACTTAGTTAAAGCCAGAAACGGCAACATGTCATGTTATAAAACAGAGCAGAAACAATGCTCTCACCGTCACGACACTCCATCAGAGTAGACTGAGGAACGTTGAAGCGTAAAGACACGCCTGGACCAGGAAGTTTACCTCCGACTCTTAGGAGTTCTTTGGCTCCATGGCCTTGTAGGGTCACCATGTCAAATACTGTCAGGTTGTTTCTGAAAAACAGACATACAACCTCCTCTTACACAGCGGCACACTGAAAAAGACCTTGCATATCTAACAGACAGAGAGAAGGATTAAGAATGGACCGAAATCTGATGATTTTCAACTTGATCTGCCCCAAGTGGTGCGCAGCCAATGAGAAACGCTTCTCCTTTTGCTAATGCTGAACACCCGTACCCAAACTAACAAGACTATTCTTTGATGTGAAAGTTGTTAATGAAGAAAAAAGCTTAAGACTAGCTATATTTTGAACTGTTCACAGTCTACAAGGAAATTTCAGAGGTAAGATGAGAGTATGTAATCTTTTGGGCAGCGGTCCTCAACCATTCCTGACAGCCCTCCGTCCAACAACAACTAAAACCTTTTGCTCCGACAGAAAACAACACTAATTTATCTCGGTGAAGAATGTCATTTTAGTAGTGATTGAAACAATTATAGCACTGTGGTGATATTAATTATTGAAATTACTCTAAATCCATAAATGCACTTTGGATAAGGAAATTACATGATTAAAACAAATATTTAATGTAATTTAATACATTAAAGATCTGCTGTCCCATCAACCTTCCAGACTTTTCAGGTCTTCTGGTTCTGCTCTGCAACACCAGAACCAAACGAGGAGAAGCCGTATTCAGCTTCTATGCACTACAAAATCTGGAACAAACTCTCAGAAAACTGTACAACTGAAACACTGACTTCCTTTAAGTCTTGACTAAAATAAACCTGTTTAGAGTCATTTTTGAAACAATCAATTATGAATTTAACAATGGGACTTGACTTAATGTATAGTTTTCATTGTTGATTCTATGTTGCATGACTTTGTGTTTTTGTGTTTGTTATGATGTAAAGCACTTGGAAATGCCTTGCTGCTGAAATGTGCTATAGAAATAAAATTGATTGATTTGATTGACTGGTAAAGGGTTCTGATAATCACTTAGTGTGGTTTTAGTTTGGATGCATGATGATATTAATAATTAATGACAGTTTTCAATAGTGAAGACATTATTTTTGTTTTTCTTTCAGCATATTCTGTTGTGCCAATGTGAGGCCCAACAGATTTACTTTCACAAGTGAAGAACTATGGCATTCACTATGATGAGATATACATATAGAAAACTAATTCAGATTGCTGAATTAATTCTCTTTATACCTTTCCCAGCATAGGTATAAAGAGATATGGAGTTAAGAGTAGAGAGGGGAGAAAGAAGAATACAAGAGCACACTGCTTTTACACATGCAGAAAGAGAAAAACAACCAAGAAACCATAGCAACAAACAATATATCCACGTATAATAACTACAAAAAGTTAATAATGTATTCAGTGGTAACTGCAGCCCAACATGGTGTATCTGAAAACACCTAAATCTCAACAGATTTAGATTTCATTACTATTACAGGGTTTCCTCTCCCCCAGAAACCGAGGCGGTCCACCATGTTTTTGTATTAAAAAATGTTAAGTAGCCAGGAAAAGTAAAAATATTACTGGGTGCTACGGGAAAACACAACTAGTCTTAAAAACAACAAATCAAAAAATATAATTAAAATGAATATCAATTATTTGCACTTCTGCTTAATCCAAATTAAGCCAGTGGCTCCATCAGGCCCCCCAGGGCTTCAGGGGCCATAAATGATAATATTTTAACAGACCACAGATACATGAATGTAACACTTGTTTATGGAGATGATCAATGCTGCTGAATTTGATTTAATGGTTTCACCATGCATAAATTAAAATACTTTAAATTGTTTAACATTTAAATGTAAGATTTTAAGTAGCTGGCAAGTTTACTTTGTAAAAGTTCAAAGAACAATATTCATAGTTAGCTTGTTTTGTTACCCTAGCTACAATCTGATGCTGTGAGTTTAATGTTTGAGTTTGAGCTGTTTGTTCACAAATACTATTGAAATAGTAAACTGCAATTATAACTTATTGCATTTTAGGTTGGCCAATTAAACTACTCCCTTCTCCCAGATTAAATCTAACACAGAAGCTGTTAGAGGTGCTGATGATTTTAGCAACAAAAGGGGCCCCTAAGTCAAATTCTGCTGAAGGCCTCATACAACTTTGCACAGGCCCCGAATGATGAGTTAAGTATGCTGAACTGCGCGCAGAGATCCGCAACAAACAGGAGATTTAAATCAATGCTGCTAATGTGGCTTTAGTAGCTCTAACATTTCGTGTCTGTTGAGTTTTTAATAAGCGTCACAGAAACTGTTTTGGTTGCTCAAGTTTGTGGGATGAGTTTTTCAGATCTCCGCATGGCCGCATGCATTAACTCTGGTTGACTAAGTGGACAAAGCATTTGATATGGTTTGGTGCATCGTGTAACTGGAAAAATAATATTAAAAAATAAATAAAATAATATAAAACCAGCATGAAGCGTGACCACTAGGAGAGAGCAAAAAGCTCCTCACCGGGCTGAACCTGCATGACGAGGTTAACACTGGTTCATTAACCACTAACGCTCCGGCCAACCGGGATCACATGCATGTACTTTACAGGGAAGACAGAGCCACATGCTGGGCAGTGAGTTGAGATGTAAATGCAGCATAATTGTTTGTTCACAAAGATAAATCATTCTCACCGCTCCCTCAACGCACACCTCTGAAAGCACCACTACAAGTTATTCTTGCGGTTCATATAGAGCTGCGCAACCAGAGCTAACGAGGTGGGTTTTAAACTCTCATCTTGATGTAGAGTTCACCAAAGAGACATGATTCCACACAGGGGGTTGATGTAAATATCCATACCGGTCAGCCTGTGTCCAGTTTGAGTGAAAGGAGGCGTGCGCCAAGGTAAACGAGAGATCAAGGAGCGGCAGCACGCGAGACAACGTGCAGAGGCGCCAGCTGTGTGATTGATCGCTCTCCCGGCTTTAAATCTTTTAGGAATAAATTTGCTCTGCCAGTGAAATGCTCAGAGCAACAGAGGCGCTTGCAACCCAGATTAAATTTATTTAAAAAATAGGAATAATAATAATAATAAATAATAAATAAATAAATTTTGGATTATTAATTTTTCTAATAAAAACAAGCAACGCTTAGCCTGGTGGGGGTGGCTAGTAAAGCATGGCAGGCCGCCAAGCTTATAATAGGGAAACCCTGTATTATTATTATTATTATTATTATTATTATTATTATTATTATTATGTATCATCATCATTATTACAGTTTTTAGTTATACAGCTTTACAAAAACCTCTGATCAATAAATCAGAAAATAAAGGTGACTTGGAATTAGCTATTATACCTGATAACAAGAATGGTGGTGGTTGGTTTGTGTTGGGTGGGGCTAAACACCACAGCGACCTCTCTGGTCTCCCAGGGCTGCAGCAGCAGACGGAGAACACCCTCTCCTGTTACATCTGCTGTGAGCTCACCTGCCTGAAAAGAGAAACAGCAAAATGGAAAAAATGCTGTCAGAAACTCCAATAAGAGGGGAAAAAAAAGCAAGATAGCTGAGTGCAGATGGTGACTTGAAAGTTCAGCTAAGAAAAATCAAATTAATCGCAAAACTATTTACCACAGTAAAAATGATTCAAGAGTTGTTTAAAGGGTTACCTTTGGAGGAGATGCCAGCAGAGAAAACTCTTCTGTGCTAATGTTCACAGTTTGGGAGCTGATATTAAACCTATCAATAAAACAAAAAAAATCTATTAGGATGCTCTTCTCCAATATAACAGTTCAAAACAATGCAAGCACATCATTTGATTAATTTACTATAAATACCAACCAAACTGTTTACCATTTGGTTAGAAGATCCAGAGCTTCACTGGGAGAAGGGTAAAGGGAAATGGTTTGAATCTCCACAGAAACCACTGAGGGCGAAGGATTCTTCAGCATGAATGTTTTAACCTGGACCAGAGAGGACAATATGAACCACAAGTTTATGGAAAGAAAGGCATTTTTTAGTAAATAACCATGACACTTTGCTTACTTTGCTCTCATTGACAGGCGTAGCCCCAAAGTACAGAAGAGCAGATCCCTCAGAAAGAAGCCTGGGCCACCTGAAGAGACATTGAATTAATTATGATGTGAATGATAAAGCTGAGAAATGGACAGAGATGGGCTGGTGTTGCAGCTCACCTGCAGGGTAGTTTGTCTTTGTAATTCTGTGACCGAGAGCAGAGCTCTGCAGCCAGCTTGCTGTCTACAGCCCAGGAAGAGGAAAAAGAGTCTGGCTGAAGGGAGCGCTGCCACTCCTGACGACCTGGAAGACATCACCAAGAAAAACATAAACAAATTTTCATCAGGAAGCAACATCTTACTTCACACACATGCTGGAAGGGGCTAAATTTCACCTGCTTCAGATAAGCGAAGAGAACATTGTCGTGCACACTCACGCTCGGCCTCAAACACCACCTCCTCCTGTTGGCATACACACCATTGATAGTCAGCTCCCATTTATTTCACACATTTCCCAACCAAGAAAGCAGCAGCCAGGAACACGTCAGGTTTACCTTTGATGAAGTTGAATGAAAGTAGAAGGGAATGTGCAGGCTGATGCCGAGCCTGGTGTCCAGACTCAGGGTCAGCATGTAATTCAGAGGCAGAGTCCTGTTTAGCAGTTGGAGGGACAGGATGCGCCAGCAACCTGTGGAGACGCTCACTGGACTACTGAAGTTCACCACCTGACAGACAGGGGGCAGTAGATGCTACTGTTAGAAAAGACGCATGGGTTTGCTTGATAAACGGCAAAACATCTGGAATCAATCTTGTAAAAACATTAAGCAAAGCATCATTTCATTAAAAGATGTGATTTGTTTCCTGTCACAAATGAGCTTTGTGGAACAAACTTCCAGAAAACTGTTCTGTTAATTTAAATCTAGACTAAAAACCCACTTGCTACAGTTGCTTTTCAACCATAATAAATAAAACATTGACCAACACATATGATGTGTATTGATGATTTCAGCAATGACACTTGACAAAATGTAATGTCTGTTATTGGTTTTCACAACTGTTGACTCTATGATGTGTTTATTGTTTTTTATGTTTTCACATTATAAAGCATTTTGAACTGCTGTGTTGCTGAGATGTGCTACACTACCTTCACCACGCCCTGCAGCATTTCCGACAGTGTGGCATTGACCACAGTGAAAGGCAGAGGGGAAGGGTTGGAGAACCACAGCTCCATCTGGTGGTGGTTGCTTTGTTTCACCTGAAACAAACTGAAGAAATCCCCTACTGTCCATCTGCAACAAAGCACAAATTATACAACAGTTCTTATTAATAAAACCAAAACCCCCAATAAACGTCAATAAAGAGACAAATGTGGGACCTATGTGTGATGTGTAATCCTGGGAAGCTGGAGGTCGTCTTGTTCCCCATTATTTTTAAACTGATATGACTTATACACTTCTGTCCATGACCTGGAAATATACCTGGGACCAGACAGGAGGAAAACAGCTGATCAGCTTCAATGTTTGACTGAGAAGATGCTTCAAGGAAAGGAGACGACTCACCTCTGCATGTTAAGCTGGCCACCTGGGTGAAGTTCTTTGCCTCTGGTCTAAGAAATACCTTGTTAAAGTTTAGGCTGGTCTCCACCTTTGACAACACCTGCATGTCCTGGAAACATGAAAACATCTCGTTACAGACATAATAGCACAATGATAAAACTAAACAATAAGAAATTCTCACCTTTATGTAGAGCTGTTTCCCTCCAGAATTCAACATATAAACTCCTATTTTTGCATCCCCTGTGTGAAAATATAACAATATTGTCCATCTTTACAGTATAATCCTAAAATGTTTGCAAACCAGATAATTAAATTTGTTTGTCATAACAGATAATTAAATACAATGTAAAGACAATGAAATTATTATTGTGGGTTACAAACAGTGAATGTCAGTTTTGAAACTCAAAATTAGAAAAGCGGCTGCACACTTCAGAAAACAAATGCTTCAAATCTCATATGACTTTCATTCCGGTGAATTATTTAAAACTGAGCTAAAGAAGGAAGAGGTGGGGGGTCTCTTCCTTCGGTCTCTTCTATTCATTATGAAACTGGGAAAAATAAATAAATTTGGAACATCCCTCAGAACTGAACTAAAAGCTTCTCTTCTGCAACTTTGTGTGACTCATGCTTAGATTAATAAATGATTTTGAAAAGCTGACTATAGACATCAACAAACACCCACCAAATGCAGGTGGTCCAACAGCAGGAGTGACCAACAGGAACAAAATGTGCTCAATGACGTAGGGCTTGAGCTTGTCCAGTTCAGCGGGCCGGTCACCACAAGCAGACAGATTAATCTGGAGACTGAGACGCTCCTCTTTCTGGAGGCAGGACCCCTGCGACGAGAAAGGAAAGCCTTACCAGTCATGCACTAAATACAAGGAAATGGAATTATTTGGAGAGTGAGGAGAGATTTGAGAAGCTCTATGAAGTGTGTACTCATTCGAAGTCCACCTAAGGATTTGAGTGTGCAGGTTACCAGCTTGCAAAATTGTGAGAATTAGGACAGTACGTTTCTGCTCCCCAACTTAAACATTGTTATTTAGGCATATATACTTCTAAAAAGTACAATTACAAAAAGTAATTAATTTGAAGTGTACAGTATAGGTTTTTTTCTTTCCAAAATCATTGCAGGATATATTTGGCTGTACACTACCATCTTTCTGAGATGTTTGATGATTGTCAAAAAAAAAAAAAATCAAAAATGATGTTGTACTAGAATTCAATTCAACAGTCTTAGGGTGTATTCAGACTGGATAGTCTGGTAGACTCAGTTCGATTGGGGACTAAAACTGCAACATTTTGTTACATTTTCAGAACTTAACTTCGCATTCAAACTGCACTGTGTCAAACGACTAAAAAACTAACTAAAAAAACCTGTCCCCCCTTCGCCTGTGGTGGTGCTGCACCAAGAACTACTGAAGGAATCGACACAAAACCTCTGAAGAAGGCCAGCGCAACTTCCTTCTTCACAAAAAGTAAACAAAAACAGAACAGTGTCAGATTTTAGCAGTTGTAGGATTTCTTCATTGATATACATTACTGGTTTGGACATAGCCTGTTAGCCGCTAATGCTAGCGACCAGTGGTGGAGAAAGTACTCAAAAATGTATGAAAGTAAAAGTACAAACACATGACAAAAATGTA